GTAACAAGAGCAAAAACTCTATCTCAAAAAAAAAAAAAGTTTATAAACTTTAAAACATATCTTTTGGTGCAGAGAAGTATGATCAGGTGATCAATAAAAGCTTTTCAAGGAAAAAAAATATTACACACAGTATGACATCATGGAAAAGATGAAACTATGGAGACAGTAAGGAGTCAATGGTTGCCAGGGGTTACGAGGGTGGGGTGGTGACTAGGTGCAGCACGGAGGATTCTTAGGGTGTGAAACTACTCTATATGATACTGCAATGACGGATGCATGTCACTGTACACCTGTCAAAACCCATAGAACATGCAAGAGTAAACCCTGACGTAAATGAGGTGGGGAGGTCGTGCCTGCTCAGGGGCAGGAAGCCTGTGGGACCCAAGTAATTTCCACTTAATTTTGCTGTGAACCAGAAACTGCTCTAAGAGATAAGGTTTATTAATTAGATATACTGTTACATATATAGCAGTAGAATATATTACTGGTATTTGATATTATATATGGAGAGAGACCAGTAGAATAATGTGAGGAAAGTAAAATGGAACTATAAGTTCATAGATCAGGAGGAATCATTTGAAAACTAGACTGTTGAGGAAGAGTTGCTTATATATTAATATTATTTATTATTTTTTTATTGCATTTTAGGTTTTGGGGTACATGACAGATACAGGTGAGGGGACGGAAGGCAGCAAACCACACTGCCATGTGTGTACCTATGCAACAATATTATTATTTTTTAAAGACGGGGGTCTCACTGTGTTGGTCAGGCTGGTCTTGAACTCCTGACCTCAGGTGATCTGCCCGCCTTGACCTCCAAAGTGCTTGGATTACAGGCATGAGCCACTGCGCCCAGCCTGCATTATTAAAAAGGATAATGGAGGCTGGCCGCAGCGGCTCATGCCTGTAATCCCAGCACGTTGGGAGGCTGAGGCGGTTGGATCACCTGAGGTTGGGAATTCAAGACAACCTGACCAATATGGAGAAACCCCATCTCTACTAAAAATACAAAATTAGCTGGGTGGAGTGGCGCATGCCTGTAATCGCAGCTTCTTGGGAGGCTGAGGCAGGAGAATCACTTGAAACCAGGAGGCAGAGGTTTCAGTGAACCAAAATCACGCCACTGCATTCCAGCCTGGGCGACAAAAGCAAAACTCTGTCATACACACACACACACACACACACACACACACGCAGAAAAAGAAGAAGAATGGAGTCTGGGTGCAGTGGCTCACGTCTGTAATCCCAGCACTTTGGGAGGCTGAGGTGGGAGGATTGTTTGAGCCCAAGAGGTCAATACCAGCCTGGGCAACATAGTGAGACCCCATCATCTCTCAAAATAAAATAAAATAAGTAGGATAATGATGAGTGTTGAGATGCTGACAGTGTTTAGAGTCTACTGGAAACATTTTAACGAGTAGTAAAACCGTTTTATTATTTCAATGCCTATATTTACAATATGGTAGAAATTACATTCTTTGCAGTAATTAAATGGATGATAAAAATTTACATTAAACATAAAAAGATGAGGGAAAACAGCTTTTCAAAATTGCTTTTCAGCATATACACGACAGAAAATTTGAAGACCGGCACTCAAGCACATAGGACATTTCTATGCAAATGATGACTCCAGATATTTGAAGAAGCCTAAGCAGCCGTAGGACAGATCTCTAAATCCAGGGACGGTGGCCACCGTCAGAGGGGTCAGTTTGTGGGACAATGGGTCACAGACATAGACCATATCGGGCTGTATTTCACAGAAAAATTTGCTTCTTTTTGCTACTTTCTGATAAACCATGGAGATTCCTCGTGATGAAGAGAACTACTTGAATTGTGGATAAACTAAAATTAGAAGAGAAAGCAGACCCCTTGTCCAGCCAGTTTGAAGAAAATCTAAGCCGGGACAGGGTGAGGCTGAGAGAGACAGCAGCGAGAGTCTGAAACACAGGCATTTCCTAAATAAAACCTTCAGTATGGGTCATTCAAGGGAGAATTTCAGATCTATGCTATATTTATAAATTGTGTACTCTACATAAATGCTGGGTCCCTGGAATTCCCTACAGTGTGAAACTCCTCTTACTCTCTAAAACAAACCCAAGTCCTAAGCCCTCAACCCCTCTGCGCTCTTTCCTTCATAATCATCAGACCCCTCATGACTCAGACTTTCCAAATAAGCATTTAAAAAATGATCTCAGACTAGTCAGCTCCACTTGAGCAACATGTTCCTTACTCATTAATTTTCCCGACACGTCCCTTGTGATGACTTGTTCATCTGTTTTTCAAATTCCACGTGGCTGGGCCTCTGTAGCTTTGTGGTTTTATATTCTGCGTACTTTCTAACAGTGACAGATCCAGAATTTTTATGTCAGATGAAGTTGAGGACAGGCAGTCTGGTTGGAGGAAGATATTCAGGGGCCAGACTCAAAGCTCTGTTTGTACATGACACCCTCCTTTTATAATGGCGAAGATTCCAGGCTTTGCAGCTGGACTGATAGTTTAATTCCTGACTTCATCACTTATTAACTTGTGAGTTTGGCCAAATTACTTGACTTCTCTATGATTTAGTTTCCTTATTTGTAAAATGAAGACAATGGTAGTACTGGGTCTAGGGGTTGTTGGACGCCAATGCAGAATCCCAGTGACCAGAATGGATGAGAGGAAGCTCAGGAAAGACCAGCTTGAAAGGTCTAAGACCCATTCCCACACTGCCAATAGGAGGCATAAATTCCCCCTCAGAGGACATGTGGGAAGGAAGAGGTGGAGGGGAGAGCCCTTGAAGTGGGAAGAACAGCCCTGAGAAGGGCATTAAATTTCGTATGGCCAAGCATTTACCCAACAGAGACCTGAGGCATTTCTTTTTCTTTTTTTTTTTTTTTTTTCTGCAAGTCGGAATCTCACTCTGTCTCCTGAGCTGGACTGCAGTGGCATGATAGCTCACTGCAACCTCCCCGTCCCGAGTTCAAGTGATTCTTCTGCCTCAGCCTCTCGAGTAGTGCCTGCCACCACACCCAGCTTTTTTTTTTTTTGTATTTTTAGTAGTGATGGGGTTTCACCATGTTGGCCAGGCTGGTCTCGAACTTCTGACCTCGTGATTTGCCCTCCTCGGCCTTCCAAAGTGCTGGGATTACAGGCGTGAGGCACTGTACCTGGCCAAATTTTTTTTTCTTTTTTATTGTTTTTAATACTCCCCCAAGCTTTATTGAGGTATAACTGACAAATAAAAATGAGATGTTTTCAAGGGTATAACGTGTTAATTTGATGAGTATACATTGTGAAATAATTACCACTGTCAAACTAATATATCACCACCACATATTTACCACCTTTTTCTATGTGTGTTAGCAAACTTCAGATAGACAATACAATATTAATTACAGTCTTCATGTGACTAGAGTCCCAGAACTCACTCATCTTATAACTGAAAGTTTGTACCCTTGACTGTTGCTTTTAATCTTTATATTGAGGCTTAAAATACACCCAGTAAAATGTGCAGAGTGGACACATAAGTGCTCAAGTCATCGAATTTTATTTAATTATTTAATTCATTTGTTTTAAATAAATAGAGACAGGGTCTTGCTATGTTGCCCAGGCTGGTCTTGAACTCCCGGGCTCAAGCAATCCTTCCACCTCAGCCTCTCAAGGTGTTAGGATCACAGGCATGAGCCACCACACCTGGCCAACTGTTGAATCTTAACACATGCCTACCCTCACCTACCCACTTTCCAGACCAAGATGTGCCAGATTCCCATCACCCCGGAAGCCTCCCCCGCCTCCTCCCCAGCAATGACACCCTAGAGGTAGTCAGTATATTGACTTCAATCATCATCAACTGATTTTTCCCTGTACTTGACTTTCATATAATTAGAACCACACAGAGACACTTTTAAAAGAAAACGAAATTTAATCACCAAGATTTGGCAAGCTTAAACCCATATCCCCATTCCCTACCCCAGCCCTCTCCACCATTGGTGGAAAACAGAGTCTGAAAACTAAGTTGGGTGAGTTATAGCAAGTCAAACTACATTTCTCCTTGCGTATCTGAGTTACACGGTAAATTTCAATTAACTGCCAGTTGTGAGCCTAGAAATAGGGACCCAGGTGAGTTAGAGTCCCTGACCTCTGCTTAAGAGCCATTGCCAAAGATCGACTCAGGGAAAGTAATAGCTCTCTGCCCCATCCTCTTCCCTACTCACTTCTGCTTGAAACTAGAAGTGAGACTCACTCAGCATCCACCTTCCCCACCCTTGGAGAGTTCATAGAAAGTGGAAGGTATCATTCACACAGTGATATGCTGCTCTGCAGCTGGAAAGGAGCACTGGAGAAAACTGGGCATGTGTCCTGATGCTCCTCTCACTCTCCAAATCCCCAGCTTCCCCCGGAGAGATGCTATTGACCTTTATCACCCATCTGCTTCCTTTTCTTCTTTTCCTCCTTCTTTCTTCCACAAAGGTCCCCCCTGCTTTGGAAATGAGGCATACCCAGGGAAAACAGGTTTCAGGTCAGCTCTGGTTCAAAGGGTGGGTCCCTTCCACTCCAACAAGTTTGATCCCCTCCTTCCGCCTCCCTCCCTGCCCCTTCTCATGTGTGCACCCTCTGGTCTTGCCGACTTGACTCTCTCCTCCGCCTTGATTCCTCTAGGGTACACCTCTCCAGACGGCCCTGCAGAAAGCACGGCGTGGAGATGCCCCTCCCTGGGGAGGGAGGACCCAAAGCTCTGACCTCCCTTACTCAGTGTCAGCTATAAATGCCACAGATATACTTGCGACGAAAAAAGAAGAAAAATAAGAAGCCAAACCGTGGAGCAATTTGGGAATTCCTCCCAACCATCCCACTTGCCCGCAAGGCTTGCCCTGGCACTGGCTGGCCTTTGGGTCATTTTGCACAACTTTATTTTCTATCAAGTCCCAGGGGGTTTGCCCCTTGTCTCTCTGCCTCTTTGGCCTAGCTTTCCTCTGGAACCCAGGCATCCAAATGACAACTTCTGTGTGCATCCTTTAGAGATGAGAAGAGGAAACATCCCTCCTGCCTTCTGGTTTCTATGGCTGCTTCTCTTTGGACTTCTGGGACCCAGTAAGTGACTTACCAGTTAAGGAGGGAGAGGGGCATGGAGTCCACATAAGGCCTGAAGCAGAGATGGGGGTCCCCTGCCCAGGCAGGACTCTTCTTCCAGAAACAAAGATGATTTTTTGTTTTCGCCGATTTCTGCAAAAGCCAATACTGATCCCAATTCCCCTGACCATGACTCTGATGCTACATTAGAAGCAAATCTGTATTAGTCTCCCTAGGCTGTGGCTGTGGGCACAAGAGGTGGGGCCGTGCTGGCGAGGTGGGGCAGGTGAGACTTTTACTTTCCTTTGTATTTTGCCTAAAAGTTTTGTTTTTAACTGGAAAATTCTAGTTCCAATAGCATTCTTAATTCCAAATTAAAACCAGGATCTCAGTCTAAAGTCCTGTAAAAGTCCATCAATCCTTCTTTGTTTTATTTTTCCATGGGTTATTGGGGTACAGGTGATATTTGGCTACATGAGTAAATTCTTTAGCGGCGATTTGTGAGATTTTGGTGCACCCATCACCTGAGCAGTGTGCACTGCACCCCATTTGTAGTCTTCTATCCCTCACCCCCCATCCTTCCTCCCTAGGGCCCGAAGTCCGTTGTATTATTCTTATGCCTTTGCATCCTCATAGCTTAGCTCCCACATATCAGTGAGAACATATGATGTTTGGTTTTCTATTCCTGAGTTACTTCACTTAGAATAATAGGCTCCAATCTCATCCAGGTCTCTGCAAATGCTGTTAATTTTTTCCTTTTTATGGATATATAGTATTCCATCATATGCCAGTTTCTTTATCCACTCATTGATTGATGGGCATTTGGGTTCCACGACTTTGCAATTGCGAATTGTGCTGCTATAAACCTATGTGCAAGTATCTCTTTTGTATAATGACTTCTTTTCCTCTGGGCAGATACCCAGTAGTGGGATTGCTGGATCAAATGGTAGTTCTACTTTTAGTTCTTTAAGGGGTCTCCACACTGTTTTCCCTAGGGGCTGTGCTAGTTTACATTCCCACCAGCGGTGTAGACGTGTTCCCTGATCACCGCATCCACACCGACTTCTGCTGTTGTTTGATTTTTTGCTTCAGTTCTTCTTTGGATGCTGCCTGATTCCAAATCCATGTCTAATCCCCTGAGAATTTCCTCGATAGAAACAAATTGGAGGTTGGCCACTGGGGGGTTGGCTCTGGCATTGGATCAGCGGTGGCTGTAAAAGGAAACAGCCCAGGGGAGAAGTGAATTGGGCTCCATGTGCCTCCAACAGACTGTTTGAGACAGTTCTGTTCACTCCCATCTTTGATTTCTTACATCCCCGTATCTTTCCTGATTTTGAGACACCAGGTTAATCTGCTCATCCATTCCATTGCCTTTACTGTAGGATGGCATGTCAGGAAGTGGGCGGTGCGGCTGAAAGAGAAGGTCTAGGCTGGATGACGTGGAGGCTTTGGGGTGCTTCCCTGTTCCTCCTCAGTATGCATCTGTTTCCTGCACCCCACTCGGGATTTGCTCCTTCGCCTGCTCCAGCACCTCTTCCCTCAGCATTCTTTTTCTTCCCTTTCCTGTTGCCTTCATCCTGAATGCTTCAGCTGTTCTCTACCTACCCATGCCTTCCAGATCCACCTGTTATTTCTTAATCCCTAACTCCAGTCTTATCTGTCTGATTTTAAACAAGAGTCCCCTTACCTCAGAATAAACTGTCATTCATATAGTCATTCAACAACATTTATACAGCTCCTACTCTGGGCCTGGCACTGCTCCAGGCTGGGCCACGGTGAGGAATGGAGCAGGAAACGTCATGGTCTTGGCCCCTTGGAACTCTTGGTCTACCGTGAAACATAGGCTTAAATAATATTTCCTTACAAAAGGGAAGAAGCGGGCAAGTGCTGACAGGCCCCTCCTCTTTTCCTACCGCTAGATCTGTGAAGTGACCCACTGTGTCTCGCGTAGCCCTGTTACGGTGGATTAGCAGGGACCACTCCTCCATCTGAACACTGGGCGCCTTCTCACCCTCTTGCCATCTCGGGGGCCTTGCTCAGTGCGTTTCTTCTTCCCCTCCCAACTTGCTTTACCTTTCTCGAGTTCTTTCCATCAGCATCCAAACAAGCTCCAGTCTGTGTGCACAAGGGTCATCCAAGGAGATTATTAAAAACTTGGGTTTCCAGGCCCTGGCACCACCCCTCTGCCCCGACTAAGCAAGATCCTGATTCAGTAAGCTTGGTGGGATGGGGTGGGTTTCTGAGACAGTGTGACCCCAGAGGTCCCTGGACTAAACACTGTTTGAATGATGTCCTTCCTAGTGTCCCTGCATCACTCCTCAGCCACTGCCTCTCCCTCCACTCTCCTTCCTCACCCCCATTCTTGAAGGCCTTCCCCACGTTTGCTATGTCACCTCTCACCTCCCAATCATTTGTCAATTTTACCAGGTAATGCATGTAAATAGTTCTGAAAAAGAAATACTTGTAGTCCTACAAGTCTTCCCCCAACTGCTTCTTACTCTTTGAGTCCTGCTTCCCAGGGTTCTTTTTGGCATTTCCCTTCATGCTGTATTTATCTATTTATTTAGAAACTCGCTCTGTCGCCCAGGCTGGAGTGCAGTGACACCATCATAGCTCACGGCAGCCTGGAACTCCTGGACTCAAGTGAACCTCTCACCTCAGCTTTCCAAAGCACTGGGATTACAAGTGTGAGCCATTGCACCTGGCCATAAATTCTCCTACTACTAATACTTCCTTGATGGTTGAGGGTTTTTTCTGTTTTTTTTTTTTTCCCCCCTCTGCTTTAGGCATGATTTATTTTCTTCCTTCTAACGAAAAGGAGGATTTAGGTTAGACCTCTCCCCCCGCACACTTACGTCTCACGTTCCAGCTCACAATTCTCCCCAAATGATTGTGTCAAATTTTTGGTGTTAAATTAGTATTTAGTGTTTACATTATAATAATAAATGTTACCTCTAGTAACATTTATAACTGGGTCATATAATTACATTATGATGGTTGTCCATTCTTGTGATTTTTGTTTTTCTACAGATTAATAATAACTGCATTTTTTAAATTTCCGTAGTTTTCTTCATATGTATCATTAATTCATCCCAAAACCTCCATCAGGAGTGTCCCTGCCTTTTCAGTACACATGAAGCAATCTATCAGTTTCACCGTTTTCTCTTGAGCAATTCTGTCTGGAAGCCTCTGTCCAACCAGTACTGGTTGCTCACTAGGTCTCTTGTCCTGCAATTTGTATTCAGCAACATTCTGGAAATCTAATCTTTTTTCTGGCTTTTTTTTTTTTCATCTTGGAGCAGGACTTTCTCTAGAAGCTTCCTGAGAGAGAGTTTAGGGTCGTAAATTATTTTAAACCCTTATGCACTGTTAGGATAATGCTAAGCGGCTGTAACAAGGAGATCCCAAAAGTGACTTTGGAAAATAAACTTGTTTGTACCTATCCTAAGATGAGTATTGTAAGATGGTGGGAGCTCTGTTCCATGCAGTCATTCAGGGGCCCTGGGTGAATATGGTTCTTCCATCTTCAACACATAGTTTCCAGTGTCATCATCATTTCAGCCTAAGGAGAGGGTAGAAGAACAGTATTTTGTGTTATTTTATGATACAGTCAGTCAAGGTGCAGCCACAAAAGGAAACGCTCACAGGCCCTAGAGACAGGAGGCATGGCACTGCCATGCCAGACCACCTGAGAAAGACAGCAAGGTAGTCAGGAGGCAGAAGACAGGAGTGAGGGAAAGGTTTAGGTTTTTCCTTTTATTAGGGTTTCTGTGGGAAAGGCAAGGAAGGGCAGGATGAATAGTTTAGGATTGGCTGGTTTGAATAATTCCTGTGTTCTTTGAACTATATGGCTGATTACTACCTAGTTGCCTGGTACTGGGCTTTGGAATGATTAAGGCAGATAAATATTGTTTCCTGGAGTGTATGGGTGTATGGGTCAGATCGAAGAGTGTTGGCTCTGAAATGGTTAGTTTGCAACTCAGCTCATGCTCCTGGCTAGGCCCTTTGCTGCTTCTAAGAATTGGCTAGCCCAGGAAGGTACTGTCTCTCCCTAGCTAGAAAAGTTTGTTAAAATGTCAAAACATGATAATATGCAGAAAATAAAAATATGTATACAAACAGAAATCAAGGAATAGGTATTTACTCTTAAACAAATGCAGTGGAAATTATATGTGTTTCTTCACTTTAGGGGCCTCTGACTAGGGCTTAGGCATGTAGCCTTACCGAGCTACAAGAGAGGTTGAGAAATGTAAATTACCCGTGTGCCCAGGAAGAAGAGAAAAATGGGCCTTCCTGTGTGTAGACCTTATATGTCTGAAAATATCTTATTCCACCCTCACATTTGACTCATAGTTTAGCTGGTTATAAAATTCTAGGAAAGATGTGATTTTTCCTCAGGATTTTGAAGGCATTGATCCACTTTTTCTAGATTCTAGATTGTGAAGTCTGATATCGTTTAGATTACTGACCTCTTATAAGAGACCCATGTTTTTTTTCTTCTGGAGGATTTCATATTTTTAAAACTACTGTTTAAAAATTTCATGATATGGTACCATAGTATAGATTCTTCTTTCATTGTGTTAGGAATTTGTACAGTAAAAAGTTGTATTAGTCAGTTCTGGGAAATTTTCTTGCATTTTTTCTTTGATAATTGCCTCTCATCCATTTTCTTTGTTCTTTCTGAAAAATCTTATGATTTGGATATTTGACCTCCTGGACTGTCCTCTAATTTTCTTATATTTCTTCTTCTGTCTTCCAACTCTGTCATTTTATTTTTCTTTTGGGGAGATTTCCTCAGCTTCTTGTCTTCAAATCCTTCTAGTAAATTTTGAGTGTTTTTTTTTTAATTTCAAAGAGATCTTTTTTTCTGTATAATCATTTTTTAAATGGCACCTTTTATTTGTTTGTGTTTTTTTCCGTGGGTGCTATACTTTCACTTATCTTGCTGAGGACATTTGAAGTTGGTTTTGCTATTTGCATTGACTCAGTTGTCTCTGGCTTTGCTTCATAGGGATATTTGTTTTGGTCTCTATACTTCAAGCTAGAGAGGGAGTATGGAGTGGAGGGAGTATGGTCCTACATGAAGGGCTGAAAATAAATGAATAGAATATCAGTGATTTGTGAGACAACATTTTGTCTACACTATGTGTTACTGAAGTTCCAGAAAACAAAGGGAACAGAAAATATGTTTAAAGAAATGGTAGCTGTAAAAAATTGAATTTGATGAAAACTATAAACTCACAAATCCCAAGAACTCAACAAATATCAAGCAAAATAAACTTAAAAAAAAAACATACCAAAGTACAACATAATCAAATAACTAAAAATCAGTGATAAATGGTAAATCCTAGAACCAGCTAGAAAAAAGGACATGTTATATAGACAGGAGCAAAGACAAGCATGATAACAGACTTTCTGTGAAAAACCAGAACATAAAGAAGCAACATCATTAAAATGCTGAAAGAAAAGATACTCTGTCAACCTAGAATTACACAGAGTAAAAATATTTTCAATATGAAGATGGAATGAAGGCTTTTCTCAGGCAACTTAAAACTAAAAGTCCACCTCCTGGAGACAGACGCTTTTTTTAAATGTAAAAGAAAGTTCTTCAGGAAGAAAAAATTTAGATCTATGCAAAGTAATAAAGGAAGTGTGCTGGAAACAATAAATATGTGGGTAAAAATAAAAGATTTTTTTCATTTAAATTCTTCTCAAAATATAATATACTTAAATATCAATGAATTATGAGGCTTATAACATATGTAGACATAAAATGTATAACAACAGTGGCAGAAGGGATAGCTGAAGGAAATGGAAGCATACCGTATTAAGACTATCGTGCCCTTACATGAAGAGGTATGAGATCACTGGGAGGTAGACAGTGATACATTAAAGATATATATTGTAAATCCTAAAGCAATGGCACACAAATAATAATGATATTTAATAAGTTAATAGTGAAAATAAAATGGGGTCATAAAAAAGACTCAGGGCCAGGCACCGCGGCTCACACCTGTAATCTCAGCACTTTGGGAGGCGGAGGCAGGTGGACCACTTGAGACCAAGAGTTAGAAACCAGCCTGGCCAACATGGTAAAACCCTGTCTCTACTAAAAATACAAAAATTAGCTCAGCATGGTGGCACATGCCTGTGGTTCCAGCTACTCGGGAGGCTGAGGCAGAAGAATCTCTTGAACCTGGGAGGTGGAGGTTGCAGTGAGCCAATATGGTACCACCACACTCCAGCCTAGGTGACAGAACAAGACTCTGTCTTAAAAACTGGTTTCTAACTGCCAGCAAACAGTCTCCTGGATATCTAATGGGCACAATAAGTTCAAAAAAAACCCTCGTTTAATTTAAAAAAAAAAAAAAAAAGTAGGGGAAAAAAGGAGGAAAAGGAAAGAAGACCGGATGAGAAAAATAGAAAACAAATATCAAGACTATTAAACTAGGGGCAAGCCACAGTGGTTCACACTTGTAATTCCAGCACTTTGTGGGGCTGTGAGGCAGGAAGATTGCTGGAACCCAGGAGTTCAAGACAAGCCCAGGCAGCATAGGAAGACCACATCTTGACAAAAAATAAAAATCAAAAAATAATTAGCCAGGCATGAGGCTCATGGCTGTGGTACCAGATAGTTGGGAGGCTGAGGTAGGAGGATTGCTTGAGCTTTGAAAGTCAAGGCTGCAGTGAGCCATGATTGTGCCCCTGCATTCCAGCCTGGGTGACAGAGCAAGACTCTGTCTCTCAAAAAGAATTAGACCCAATATACTGATAATTACATTAAATGTATATGGTCCAGACACCCCAATTAAAAGGCAGAGATTGACACATTGGTTAAAAAAGAAAACCCCAATTAAATAATCAACCAAGAAATACATTTTAACTAACTATAACTACAAATATGGCAAAAAAGGGTAAAAATAAGAGGAAGAAAGATACAGCCATAACTATATGTTAGCCATGCTGCCATCAATTAAAAAAAATTGAGTGACTATTTCAATATCAAACAAAATAGGCTTAAGAAGAGGTGTATTATTAGAAATAAACAAAGACACTTCATAATTATAATCATAACATAATGCTTATTAACTACAAGGGGAGAAAAATCTGCCTGGATATACCTTCTTAATCAAGTAATCCAAGAGAATATCATCAATGATGGGACACGTTGATATTATCTGTTACCTGATAGTATGCAAAGAAAAGAACACAACATGACTTCGATGGTATTCTTGGCAAAGATTAATAACATGAACGTAATCGTGATGAAAAATTACAAAAACTCAATTTAAGGAAAATTCTATAATGTAACTGGCCTGTAATCTTCAAAGGCTCAAAGTTATGAAGATCAAAGGAAGACTGAACTGCACCAGACTGAAGAAGACTAAAGAGACAAGACAACTAAAAGCAACACATGATTCTGAATTGAACTGTTTACTATTAAAGACGTTATTAGGACAACTAACAAAACTTGAAAGGGATCTAAGGATCAGGTGGCAGCAATATATTCATGTGAATGTCTTGATCTCAATGGTTGTGTTATGGTTGTGTATGAGAATAGATAAAGTATTGAAGGATAAGGAGATATGAGGTTACCAAGTAACTCCCAGATGATTCAGGGAAAAGGGTTCTTTGTGTTATACTTGCTACAAAAGAATCTGAGATTAAAAAACAAAAAACAAAAACAAAACAAAACAAACAAACAAAAAAAACAAAGAAAAATCAATCAGAGTATGTTATTCCAGTGGGTCCTCATTGTATTTGAGATGAAATTTAACCTTTCTACTATGGTATTTTCTACTATGGTATTTATTCATGGATCACATCAAACTCATTAACAACTCAGCGTATTTATGCTTATGCTATAGATCTATGCCATCTTTCTCCTGGCCTTTCAAATGGCTGCCTTCTTATCCTTCTTATACCTTCTTATCAGCTCTCAGTTCATATGCCAATTTCTCAGAAAGACCTTTTCTGAATATAGTATCTAAAGCAGCACCCCTGCTTTCTTTAACAGCACTTAAGCCAATGTGTATTTGTATTTTTTTATGTTGTATTACTCTTCTTTACTAAATTATAAGCCCATATCTCTTTTGCTAACAGGAGTTTAGTAAAATACCAGGTACATATTAAGCCCTCAATATCTAAATAAATAAATGAGTAAACAGTATTGAGTATATTAAAATAACACTATACTCTAAACCTGCAAATCATTCTTAATCCATTCCCACCACCTTATTTGTCTTCCACCTCAGGCTCTGAGAATACCACAGCCTTCACAAAAGGGTCTGACACCACCACAGTCTCCATCACAGGCTCTGAGACCACCATGGCCTCCACCATGGACTCTGCTATGGCCTTAACTACAGACTCAGACTCTAAGATCACCACAGACTCTACCACAGGCTCTGAGAAAACATCAGCCTCCACCATGGCTTCTACTGTGGCCTTCACCACAGACTCTGAGATCGCCACCACCACCACTGCAGGCTCCGAGGCCACTAAAATCTCTACCACAGGCTCTGAGACCACCACAGCATTTACTGCAGGTTCTGAGACCACCACCATCTCCACCTCCATGTCAGGCTCTGAGAACACCACAACTTCAGCTGCAGACTCTGATATGATCACAGCATCCAGCATGAGCTCTGAGATGACTTTGGCCCCCACTGCAGCCTCTAACACCAGCACAGCCTCAACCACAGGCTCTGAGACCACTACAGTCCCGATCAAAACCTCTGAGACCACCACAGCCTCTACAGCAGCTTCTGAGACCAACACTCCCTCCACCACAGGCTCTCAGACCACCATAGTCTCTATTTCAGGTTCTGAGATCACCATCACCTCCATGGCAGGATCTGAGACTACCAGAGTCTCCACGGTAGGCCCTGAGACCACCAAAGTCTCTAGTGCAGGCTCTGAGACCACCACAGCTTCTACAGCAGGCTCTGAAACCACCACCATGTCCACTGAAGGCTATGAGACCACCACAGTCTCTACCACAGGCAGTGAGACTACCACAGTCTCCACCATGGGCTATGAGACCACCACAACTTCTACTACAAGCTCTGAAACCACCACAGCTTCTACTTCAGTCTCTGAGACCACCATCACCTCTACTGCAGGCTCTAAGACTACCACGGTCTCTACTTCAGGCTCTGAAACCACCATGACTTCTATCACAGGCTCTGAGATCACCACAACCTCTACTGCAGGCTCTGAGACCATCATGGCATCTGCCATGAGCTCTGAGACTACTATGGCCTCTACCATAGACTCTGAGACCACCAAGGTCTCCACTGCTAGCTCTGAGATGATTACAGTCTTTGCTATAGGCTCTGAGACCACCAGGGCCTCTACCACAGGCTCTGAAACCATCACAGTCTCCACTGCAGGCTCTGAGACCACCCCAGCTTCCACCACAGTCTCTAAAACCACTACGATCCCTAACACAGGCTCTGAGACCTCCACAGCCTCCATCATGAGCTCTGAGACCACCATATATTCTACCACAGGCTCTGGGACCACTACAGCCTCCACTGCAGGCTCTGAGACAACCACAGCCTCCACTGCAGTTTCTGAGACCACTGCAACCTCTACTACAGGCTCTGAGATCACCACAGCATCTATTACAAGCTCTGAGACCACTATGGTATCCACCACGGGCTCTAAGACCACTATGGCCTCTACAATAGGCTCTGAGACCATCAAGGCCTCCACTGCAAGCTCTGAGACAACCACAGTCTTCACTGAAGTCTCTGAGACCACCACGACCTCTATCACAGACTCTGAAACCACCAGAGTCTCCACTGCAGGCTCTGAAACTATCACCACCTCTACTAGAGGATCTGAGACCACTACAGTCTTAACCACAGATTCTGAAACCATCATAGCCTCTACTGCAGGCTTAGAGTCCACCACAGTCACTACCACAAGCTCTGAGACCACCACAACCTCTACTGAAGCCTCTGAGATGACCATAGCCTTTACTGCAGGCTCTGAGACCACCACAGCCTCTACCACAGGCTCCGAGATCACCACAGCCTCTACTGCAGGCTCAGAGACCACCACAGTCTCTACTGCAGGCTCAGAGATCACCACAGCCTCTACTTCAGGCTCTGAGACCACCACAGCCTCTAATGCAGGCTTGGAGACCACCACCACCTCTACTGAAGGCTCTGAGATGACTATAGTCTCCACCATAGGCTCTGAGACCACCACAGCCTCTATTATAAGCTCAGAGACCACCACCACCTCTACTGAAGGCTCTGAGATGACTACAGTCTCCACCACAGACTCTGAGACAACTACAGCCTCTACTTCAGGCTCAGAGACCACTACAGTCACTACCACGGACTCTGAGACCACCACAGCCTCTACTGAAGGCTTTGAGACCACCACAGTCTCTACCACAGGATCTTGGCCCACTGCGGCTTCCACTGCAGGCTCTGAGACCACTATAGTTGCTACCACAGGCTCTGAGGCCAGGACAGCCTATACTGCAGGCTCTGAGGTCACTACAGTTTCTACCATGGGCTATGAAACCACCACAGCCTCTACTGTAGGCTCTGAGACCACCACACTCTCTACCGAAGGCTCTGAGACTACCACACTCTCTACTCAAGGCTCTGAGATGACTACAAACTCCACCACAAGCTCTGAGACCATGACAGCTTTTACTGAAGGCTTTGAGAGCACTACGGTTTCTATGGCAGGCTCTGAGGTCACCACAGCCTCTACTGCAGGCTCAGAGACCACTACAATTGCTACGATTGCCTCTGAGACCACCACACCCTCTATTGCAGGCTCAGAGACCACCACCACCTCTACTGAAGGCTCTGAGATGGCTACAGTCTCCATCACAGATTCTGAGTCCACCACAGCTTCTATTGCAGGCTCTGAGACAACCACAGTTATTATCATAGGCTCTGAGACCACCACCGTGTCTACTACAGGCTCAGAGACAACTACCATGAGCTCTGAGAACACTACAGCCTCTACTGAAGGCTTTGAGACCACCACAGTCTCTACCGCAGGCTCTGGGACCACTACAGTTGCTACCACAGGCTCTGAGACCACCACACCCTCTACTGAAGGCTCTGAGACCACCACACCCTCTACTGAAGGATCTAATACCACCACAGCCTCTACTCTAGGCTCTGAGATGACTACAGTCTCCACCATAGGCTCTGAAACCACCATTGTCTCTACTGCAGGCTCTGAGACCACCACAGCCTCTACTGCAGGCTTGGAGACCACCACAGACATTACTGCAGGCTCTGAGACCACCACAGCCTCTACTGAAGGCTCTGAGACCACCACCACCTCTACTGAAGGCTCTGAAATGACTACAGTCTCCACCACAGACTCAGAGACCACCACAGTCTCTTCTGCAGACTCGGGGACTACTACAGTCACTACCACGAGCTCTAAAACCACCACAGCCTCTACTGAAGGGTCTGAGGCCACCACAGCCTCTACTGCAGGTTCAGGGATCACCACCACCTCTACAGAAGGCTCTAAGATGACTACAGTCTCTACCAGAGGCTCTGAGACCACCACAACCTCTACTGCAGGCTCTGAGACCACGACAGCCTCTACTGAAGGGTCTGAGACCACCACAGCCTCTACCACAGGCTCTGAGATCACCAAAGTCTCTACTTCAGGCTCAGAGATCATTACAGTCACTACCACAAGCTCTGAGACCACCACAGTCTTTAACACAGACTCTGAGACCACCACAGCCTCTACCGCAGGCTCTGAGACCACCACAGCCTCTACTGAAGGCTCTGAGACCACCACAGCCTCTACTGAAGGCTCTGAGACCAGCACAGTCTTTACTGCAGACTCTGAGACCACCACAGCCTCTACCACAGGATCTGAGACCATCACAGCCTCTACCACAGGCTCTGAGACTACCACAGCCTCTACCGCCAGCTCTGAGACCACCACAGCCTCTACTGAAGGCTCTGAGACCAGCACAGTCTTTACTGCAGACTCTGAGACCACCACAGCCTCTACCACAGGATCTGAGACCATCACAGCCTCTACCACAGGCTCTGAGACCACCACAGCCTCTACTGCAGGCTTGGAGAGCACCACAGACTTTACCACAGGCTCTGAGACCACAGCCTCTACTACAGACTCTGAGACCACCACAGCCTCTACTGAAGGCTCTGAGACCACTATAGTTTCTACAGCAGTCTCTGAGATCACCATAACTTCTACTGAAGGCTCAGACACCACTACAGTCACTACCACGGGCTCTAAGACCACCACAGCCTCTACTGAAGGTTCTGAGACCACCACAGTCTCTACCACAAGCTCTGAGACCACCACTGTGAGCTCTGAGACCACTACAGTTTTTACCGCAGGCTCTGAGATCACCATAGCCTCTACTGCAGGCTCAGAGACCACTACTGTCATTACCATGGGATCTGAGACCACCAGAGCCTCTACTGAAGTCTCTGAGACCGCTACAGTCACTACCACAGGCTCTGAGATCACCATAGCCTCTACTGCAGGCTCAGAGACCACTACTGTCATTACCATGGGCTCTGAGACCACCAGAGCCTCTACTGAAGTCTCTGAGACCGCTACAGTCACTACCACAGGCTCTGAGATCACAGCCTCTACTGAAGGCTCTGAGACCACCATGGTCTCTACCACAGGCTCTGAGACTACCACCACCTCTATGGAAGGCTCTGAGACCACTACAGTAACTACCACAGGCTCTGAGACCACCACAGCCTCTATCACAGGCTCAGAGATCAGCACCACCTCTACTGAAGGCTCTGGGACCACTACAGTCTCTACCACAGGCACTGAGACCACCACAGCCTCTAGCACAGGTTTGGAGACCACTACAGTCTCTACCACAGGCTCTGAGACCACTATACCCTTTACTGAACGCTCTGAAGCCACCACCACCTCTACTGACAGCTCTATGACCACCACAGCCTCTACTGCAGGCTCTGAGACCACCACAGCCTCCGCTTCAGGCTCTGAGACCACCACGGCCTCTACTGCAGGCTCTGAGACCTCCACACCCCCCAGTGCAGGCTCTGAGACCAACACTGGCTTCATCATAGGCTCTGAGACCACCATGCTTTCTACTACAAGCTTTAAGCCCACTGCAAATTTCTTCACAGGCTCTGAGACCACCACAGTCCCTAACACATCTTCTGCAGCTACTGCAGCCTCCACCACCGTCTCGGCCACCACTTTTGTACCCACCAAGGCCACTGACGTTTCTACTCAGCACATCACCAACATAGCTGTGTCAGGTACTAACCCCCATGTCTTCTTTGAGCCCACACGTTTTGACTCTGATGGCAACCACCAGCTGTTCACCTCTTTCTATCATCTCTGCTCTGGTTCGAGTCAAGCCAGCACACAGATAAAATTTCCTCTTCTGGGATCCTAATTGCCTCTACTCTAATTTCACCTTTTTTTTTTTAATTTTTTTATTTTTATTTAAACTGCCCACCACTTCCATTGCAATCAGAACCACAATACAATGAAACACAAATGCACTATATCTGTTGCACCTTCCTCCAGCAAGCCCACCTCAACTCTACTGCCCATCACAGTTGTGTGAAACGCTCTCTGCCAAGTAGATCATCTCTATTCAACCCACCATTTGTGACACCACCACCTCCTACCAATATACTGACCCTAGTCCCGAGGCTGGCAGACCACATTTCATGAGCCAAGTCTCCCCTGTTACCTGGTTTTGTAGTTTTATTGGAATATCATCATGCCTATTCACTTACATTTTGTCTCCAGCTGCTTTTCTGCTTTTCAGTGTATTTGTAACAAAGACTGCATGGCCCAAAAGCCTAAAGTATTTGCCGTCTGGACCTTTAGAGAAAACGTGTGACAACCTTTGCTCCAGTACGAGACCAAACAGTTTTGTTCATTCTCTGGCATTTGTCATCAGCAAGGCGGTTGCATCTGATTCTATCGTTTTGGTTCTGAGCACGCTCACCTCTATTCTGGTGACGGGCTCTGTTTGTGATCACATTTTAACCACTTCTGACCTAAGCACACCCATTGCTACCTAAGCTGCCGCCACCACCTCTGCTGTGCTGATTCTCGCTTGCACCCGTCTGAGCCCACCCTCTCCTGTCCCTGTGAGCAGCCTTCTCCACCTGGGTCAGATCCTCCCACATCTGCCCAAGCACACACACCTCACCTTTGCATCGCTGTGTGGTAGATGAAGTCACCTCTGTCCCAGCCACGGCCACTGCCACACCCTTGAGTCAGTCCGATTCTGTCCTCTCCTCCTCCAGCACCCTCCTTACTCCCAGTGACTACAGTCACAAGCGAAGCAGGGCCTGCCACTTTGTATACCAGCCCACCCACTTATTTGATTTAATTTGATTTATTTTTAATTTTTTCCCCATAGGTTATTGGGATACAGGTGGTATTTGGTTACATGAGTAAGTTCTTTAGTGGTGATTGGTGAGATTTGGGTGCACCCATCATCACCTGAGCAGGATACATTGTACCATATTTGAAGTCTTCTATCCTTCACCCCCTCCCACTCTTCCCTCAAAGTTCCCAAATTCCGTTGCATCATTCTTATGTCTTCGCATTTTCAGAACTTAGCTCCCACATATCAGTGAGAACATACAATGTTCGGTTTTCCATTTCTGAGTTATTTCACTTAGAATAATAGGCTCCATTCTGATCCAGGTCACTGCATATGCTGTTAAGTCATCCCTTTATATCACGCCGCCGTCTTCTGTTTGGGTGGCTGCTTCCGAAGTCAAATAGATCTTCCACTTCTGAACGCATCATGGTCACATTTCCCCAACCTTCTGCTTCCTCCATCACCAACCCCACCAGGTGACAGACACATTCTACTTCCTCCTCTGTATGACACCCACCTCTATTCCGGGGATATGGCCACAGCGGAATTGCTTTCTACCATCTCTTCTCCCCACACCCCTCTCCTGAGCCACCTCCACCATAGGTTTGTTAGGTTCATCCCTCTCTGCTCTAAGCACCCCCATTCCCCTTTAATCATCTCTGCTACAAATGCATCATCTTGTGTGACCTGTTTTATAGGCACCAGGACCACTGGAACCAGACCCACTGCCTCCAGCTCTGTCACCATGGCCCCTGGAATGGAGTCCACGGCCTCTGCTACCAGCCATGCTGTGCCGGGAATAGTCCCAAATACCTCTGGCCTGGGTACACCTACTATGGGAGCGTTATCTACCACCTCAGCCCCCGGCATCAGGACCTCCCCAGGATCCACTCGTGAGCCAACCAGCACCACCTCCCAGGAAACAGGCCCCATGTCCACGATCACAAACACAGTTAGCATGAGCCACATGCCCACGAATGTGATCAAACCAAGTGGATATTTACAGCCCTGGGCTATCATCCTCATTTCCCTGGCTGCAGTCGTGGCTGGTGTTGCATTGTCAGTAGGACTGAGTTTTTGCCTGGTGAGTACCCAGCGTTGGTTTGTAGGGGAGCCTGGCGAGAAGGACGGTCTGAATGGTGGGGGCAGTCATGTCAGCAGTGCTTTGGAGAAATTCAGAATGAGAGAGGGGAGTAAGTTGGTGTCCTCAGAAGAAAAGAGTCACCTAGCCTGATATAAGGACCAGAAAGAATCTGTAAGTCAGAGAAAGTGAGATGCAAAGTAGAAAAAGAGGAGGGAAAAGATGGAGTTGGGGGCCAAAGTGAAGGGAAATCATGTGAAAGGAGGAAAAAGAAAATAAGGTACTTAAAGAAAATCATGTCTCTTCATAATACAATATCTGAAAGTTAGATTATTTTTGCTCTGGAAGAAGGAGGTTTAGGAAGTGAGAGTTCTGTGAGCTCATTACCAATTTTAGCTCTTGCTGTCTGTGAGATTCTCTTCTTTGATGCTTTTTTGCATAGGTAAAGATGAATACTGGGCACGGTGGCTCATGCCAGTAATCCCAGCACTTTAGGAGGCCGAGGCAGGTGGATCGCCATGTCACCAGCCTGGCTAACATGGTGAAACCCCGTCTCTACTAAAAATACAAAAATTAGCTGGACGTGATGGCGAGCACCTGTAATCCCAGCTACTTGGGAGGCTGAGACAGGAGAATCGCTTGAACCCAGAAGGCAGAGGTTACCGTGAGCCAAGTTTGTGTCACTGCACTCCAGCCTGGGCAAAAGATCGAAACTCTGTCTCAAAAAAAAAAAAAAAAAAAAAAAAAAAAAAAAAAGATGAATAACTTTTTCATTTTCCTCAGATCAGTTGGTAGACTAGAAATGCCAAGATGTTTCATTAACTACTCAGAGAGAACAAGAAGGACATTATTATAAAGAAAGCAAAAAGCAGCTGGGTGTGGTGGCTCATGCCTGTAATCCCAATACTTTGAGAGGCCAAGGTGGGCGGATCACTTGCATCCAGGAGTTTGAGACCAGCCTGGCCAACATGGTGAAACTGGTCTGTACTAGAAATACAAAAATTAGCTGGGCGTGGTGGCACATGCCAATTCCACATACCTGTCCTCAGTTTCCTTAGCTGACCAAACAGAGAGAAAGCTGTCTTTCAAGTGTGTCTCTGTGCCTTTCACATAGGGGTATGGATATACCTTTGTCTTGAAAGTCCAAAAACACATAACATGATCTACAGAGTGAGGCCTGAGTATTCACAGAAAGAGGATATGTGAATAAGATAATAGGGAACTTTATTGTCTCAGAGAGAGAAAAAGAACAAGGAGAAAGAGAGACAGAGACACAGATCATAGTAAGGATGGTGGTAAAAAGAAGAGAAAACGGGCAGTTCAGAAAAGTGAAAATCGGACACTGGGGAAAACAGGCATGTATGGTGATTAGGGAGAGGACACTGACTTTTCATTGATCAATATATGTTATTTTTTCTTTTAGAGAGACCTTTGCTTCCCCCTGAGAAATAGTGGTATTTATTACCCCCATGGCCACAGCCTTGGCCATGGTCTGGACCCGGACTTGGGCCTGGGCTCTGGGACTTTCCACAGCCTGGGAGATGCACTGGCTCATGGAGGAGACCTTGAGATGGGGCATGGAGGAGCGCACGGCTTTGGGCATGGAGTGTGCCATGAACTGAGCCACATCCATGGAGACGACCATGAAGTAAATCATGGCGGGCATTATGGACATGGAGGAGGCCACGGAGTGGGTCACAGAGGAAGCCACCAAGGACGCCATGGCAGGACAAGATGGCTGTGGCCATAGATTGGGTATCAAAAAATATTTTGGGTGGGAGGGGGGTCATAGAGGAGAAAAAAATAATGATCATGGAATAATTAAAACGGAGCACAGGGAGGTTCCCAAGATGTGATCCATGGACATGGACGTGGCTAGATCAAGAAAAGAACCAGCAAAAGCACCACAGAGCCTTTGACTGGTTTGGCGATGACTTCGAGTCAAAGGTTCTGTGAGTTTTTCCAGAGTCTCAGCCTCTGTTGTGGGGAATCATGACGACCACCCTCAGGACATCTCTCCCGTCTCCCACCACCTCAGGATCAACGTTTCTCATCCCTGTGTTTCCTCATGGTGCTATAAATATTACCAGGACATATCTAAGAAACTAAAGCACATAATGAATGTTTTATCAGAGCCACATGTTTATTTGTTTTCCTATTTGTTCTTTCAGTCTTTTTTTTGTTTTTTGTTTTTTGAGTGCTTCACATATACCAATCACTATCCCAGGAGTCTTTAAATATGTCATCATTTGGCTGGGCACGATGGCTCACGCCTGTAATGGCAGCAGTTTGGGAGGCCGACGTGGGTGGATCACTTGAGGTCAGGAGTTCGAGACCAGCCTGGTCAACATGGTGAAACCCCGTCTCTAATAAAAAAAAATACAAAAATTAGACAAGCATGGTGACGAGTGTCTGTAATCCCAGCTACTCGGGAGGCTGAGGCAGGAGAATTGTTTGAACCCAGAGGGGAGATTGCAGTGAGCCGAGATTGCACCACTGCACTCCAGCCTGGGTGACAGGGAAACTGTCTCAAAATAAAAAAAAATTATAATTTAATCCCCAAAAAATCCTGGGAGAAAAATATCTTGAGGTAGGCAAAGATACTTAGATACTTAAGCAAGACACAAAAAGCACTAGCTATTAAAAGAAAATGTGATGATATGGACGTTATTAAAGCCTATTATCAGCATATACCTTTAAGAGGTATATATTTTTTAAGAGGTATATTCTTAACTATAAAAAGAAAGTCAAAGACGGAAGAAGATGTTGCAACACATGTATCTAACAAACGACTCATATCCAGAATGTAGAAAGAACCACAATAAGAAAAAGACGATGCAATTTAAAAACGGGCAAAATGTTTGGTGAATAGTTAACAAAAGAGAATATCAAAACAGTCAGTGAACATTTGAAAAGGTACTCAATATCACTGCTTATCAGAGAGAACTGGAATGTAAAACCGCAATGAGATATCACTACATACCCACACTGTAATGACTAGCACTTAACCCACTGTCAATACTAAGAAATGGAAAGGATGTTGAACAACTGTGACTCCCACACATGCTTAGTGGGAGTGTAAATTGATACAATTATCTTGGGAAAACGTTTGGCAATGCTAAAATTAAACACACATACCCTATGACTTAGCACCTCTACTCCCGAGAGTAAATACCCAGCAGAAATGAATGCCTGTGTCCACTAAAAGACATGTACTTCATTCGTACCAGTGCAGGGTGGAAATTTACCCCCAAAGATCTCTAACACTAGGATGCATAAGTAAATTGTGACATATTCTTACAGTGGAATGCTACCCAGTAGTTAAAAGAAAAAAAAAACTATGAAATCATACAATAACATTAATGAATCTCATAGTGACTATTAAGTAAAAGAATTTAAAGCAAAAGAGTACATGCTGTGTAATTCCATTCCCATGCAGTTTAAGAACACGTGACGTGAACCTGTTGTAATAAAAGTCAGACTGGGTGCAGTGGCTCACGCCTGTATTCTCAACACTTTGGGAGGCCTAGGCAGGTGGATCACCTGAGGTCAGGAGTTTAAGATCAGCCTGGCCAACATGGTGAAACCCCATCTCTACTGAAAACTCAAAAATTAGCCGGGTGTGGTGGCAGGTGAAGAGAGTGAGACTGCATCTCAAAAGAAATCAATCAATCAATAAAAAATAAAAACAAAGGTCAGAGTTGAGGATACCTTTGGGGAAAAAGACTGACCGGGAGAAGGCATGAGAAAGCCCTCTTGCAGAGGCAGACAGGGGAAGCTGAGAATGTTCTATATATGATCTGGGTGGTGATTACAAGGGTGTATAGATATGTAAAACTTCATTAAAATGTGCACACGAGATCTGTGCACTTTATGATATGTAAGTTATGCCTCAATTTGAAAAATGAAAAAGATATTCTGAGGCTATTTTCTCACAGTATTATGATTTCCTTGGTCAGAGAATGTGGTTGGAGACACATGATGATAAATGAGGCATTCGGTAAGCCCAAAGACAGTGGTGCTACAGGCAGTACTGCGTGCAGGGGAGGCAAGCAGATGTTTTCAATGAGGACAAATCGCCTCTCTCTTTTGGTTGACAGAGGTCCAATGTAATTAATCTGCCATTCTCTCTAGAGAAGGGTGCCATGTGATGGGGCCAACACCGATCTCTGCTGTTACCAGTTGAGGCACTCAGCCATGGAGTATCTGTCCAGATTGGCCTTGGTGAGAAGGTCAACTCACTGAGCCTTGCATACCTTTCACCCCTGCCACCATGCTGTGTCCACGTCCCTACTGAGCGAGCTCTAGAGCAGCTGGAAAAAGAGACTGACTGATATCCCCACAGAATGGATCACTTGCTCAACCTGATCATTGAAGATTTCCTCTGTAGTGAACGCCCACTGGTGAACAGTCACTTGGGACACACATACTCTCACCATCTGTGCCCGTCCCAAGAGACATCCACCTTCCTCTTTCCCAGACTTCCTTTGTCATCAATTCACCATATCTTTCCACACCCTGAGTTATCCAACCCAACTTTAGCCACTGCCTATTGATCAGGGTAAACTGTAACTCTGGTCCTTTCTTTGTCCAGGCAAAGTAGACAAAGTAGATACATTTTTTTTTTTTGAGTCTTACCCTGTTGCCCAGGCTGGAGTGCAGTGGCACGATCTCACCTCACTGCAACCTCTGCTTCTCAGGTTACTGCAACCTCTGCTTCTCAGGTTCAAGCAATTCTCCTGCCTCAGCCTCCTGAGTAGCTGGGATTACAGGTATGCACCACCATGCCTGGCTAATTTTTTGTATCTTTAGTAGAGACGGGGTTTCACCATGTTGGCCAGAGACTAGTCTCAAACTCCTGACCTCATGATCTGCCCACCTTGGCCTCCCAAAGTGCTGGGATTACAGGTGTGAGCCACCATGCCCAACCCTGCAGCTGCAATCTTTACAATTCTGCTCACTGGGAGGATTTTCCTTCCCCACTGCCCTGCAGGGTGGCTCTGAGTGGAGTGGTAATGCTGCAGCAGCCCACTCTCTGTGGTGTTAGAATAGCATGCAGAACCAACCACACATCAGATGAAACCAAATCTTTCCTTTCTCAGTCAGCTGGACATAGGAAACTCTTCATGTGACTGTGATTATGGAGGGAGAGGTTAGAAATGTAGCTGGGGAAGATGCCATTGGAGTTACAGCTGCCTGCTCATGCCTCTTACTTGTGCCTTGAGGACCTAACCGGGCCAAATTCACAGGCACCACTTCCATTCAAGGAAGGTGAGTACTGCTAAGTATGCCCAGTCTTGTTTGGTGGTGCAGGCAACACCCAGTTCATAAAGAGCAGCTCATGTCTCGTGAACTCTTATATGCTGAGTATCCAAGACCAAGTCAGATGTGAGGATGTGGAGGAGAGGGTATGCTTTTGCTCCAAAGCTCTGGGACCTGTGCTGTGCTTTTTCTGTTAGTACCCAGTGTCTCCACGCAGCTTTCTGATGCACCACAGACATTTTAGGCAACAGTAGATTTATTCAGCAATGTCTTAAACAGCCTTATGGCCTTGCGTTGGTTCCCACTTGAAAGTGGGGAAATATGGAAGACGAAGCCTAGAGATGAACTTGGAGTAAGACGTCATTTATGTTCTAACCCCCATAAGCTCACCCTGCCCTGTAGATTGCCATGATGTCTTGTATATTACCCTAAAGGTTTGGGTGTTTTCATTTCCTCATTGCACTGTCACCATGATAAATGGCTGAGATTCCTTTTGAAAGCCTGGAGGAAGATTTACAGCACATCCTCGTAGCGGTGATGGATCTTGCTGCCTTCCCTTCATTTCTAGGTCTGTGAACAGGTTCAGACCTGGGAATTAGGCGAGTGTGTGAGACGTTCCACTGAGGCAACTCAAGTCAGTTCTCTGTTCAGCCACCTAAACGTTTTCACTTACACAGATGAAGTAAGATTTTAGTGGGCTGAATATATATTTCATTCCTAGTAATACCATGACTAATAAGCCCTGGCCAAAGATCCCTGATTATAGCTCTGGTCTTGATGCCCACATCAATAACCATGCCTGTGTTGTCTCTGGAGAGAAAGTGCTACCACCCACCTACTGTTTCCTGAAGATTCTACCATGCCCACTGAAATCAGGAAGCTCATTTCAATGGTCAGATCATCCACCATTGCATTTAGCAAAGAGCTGCCACGGAGCTTTTCAGGGTTGCCGGTCCTCTCCCTTCTAATGCCTTGATGAACACAGTTTCAATGGAACCTTCTGGGAGGACGGAATGAAGGAGTGGGTGAGCAAGTTGCACATATTAAATCCATTCCAACATAACTCTCTTCCTAAGTCCTTCGATTTTTTTCTTCCAATTATACTAATGAAATACTAGGATCTCAACTTCATTTAGCGTAGACCACCAGTGAGTCCACATTTCAAGTGACCGAAGAACTGCTAGGGCAACTCAACCTATTAGAGCTAACAGATTGAATCTAGCACATGTGATAAGCTCACCCATGTATTTGTTTTCTATCAGTGATAACTTACCCCAAACGTAGCAGCTTAAAACAACACCCATTTATGAGACCACAGTTCTATGAGTCATGTGGGCTCCACATGACTGGCTCCTTTGCTCAGAGTCTCACGGGTTAAAATGGAGGTGTTAGCTGAGCTGCAAACTCATCTGAAGCCTGGCATGTCTT